GCCCCGAAGCGCCCCGAACCCGCCCCGTGAAAAATAAAAAAAAATAATTAACTACAAATTAAAAATAAAAAAATAATTAATTGGAAGTTTTTGAAAAAAAAATAAATAAACGGGGTAAACCCGCGCCCCGCCCCGCCCCGCCCCGTCTAAGGTGGGGCGGGGCACCGGACGGGGTGGGGGAGTGGCGGGGCGAGGGTGTCCCGCTCCGAACCCGCCCCATTGCCATCTCTAATTTTGATAAAATTATGGTTAAAAAGTTGTGAATTCTATAAAATAAGTAATTAAAAGTAATTGTTGATTTGATTTTAAATTTTTATTAACTCTTTAAGTTGCACCAAATAGGTGAAATAATAGGAGAAAAAGAGTTTGCGGAAACGTATCAAACTCTTGTTAACATTGATCTTTATATAGATAATTACACAAAATTTAAAATTCAAATGAAATAACAATTTAACAATCATAACAACTCTGTTGGGAGTTGATCAGATTGTGAATATCTCAAATCTGTTGCTGAGCTGCTTCGTATATGGTTGTCACCTCCTTCATAATCAGCTTCTATCGAGAATGCTTGATAAGTGTATTTTATGAACTAATTCGAGCTCTAAAATAGACATTTCGTAATTTTTTTAATGGAATTATAGCCTAATTTATTTGGGTCATAATAAGTGTATTTTATACACTTATTCGGGCTCTAAAATATTGACATTTCGTAACTCTTTTAATGGAATTATAGCCTAATTTATTATATAATATGTTATTAGGTGAAATTCGATGAATGAAAATGGATTTGAAAGCAAGAAGTGAAAATTGGCGAAAAATGGACAAGATCTAATGTTTGGGGACTAAAGTGTAAATACTCAAAAGTTGTGCTGAAACTCACGATGAAAATTCGAAAATGTTAGGGGTCAACTGGATGCAATTAGAAGTCAAAGTGAGTGAAATATAACCAAAATATTTTCACAAATCAATTTTTAACCGCACAAGGATGTTCCAGATTTTCAACCGGAGATTGAGACCCATATAAAAATAGTTATTTGTAGTAAAGTTGTAACCATTTGGGTTATCTTTATAACCCAATTTGAATATCTTAAATCGAATATTGGAAGAAAAAGTTATGATAAAAATACTAAAACAGGTGCAATGTAGTTTTTCTCTCGAACACCATCATGGCGTCGAAGCGCCACCAGTCTTCACGGCGCCGCGCCGCGACGCCATGGGTGCATCTAGGGCGCGTTTTTGGTCCATTTTGAAGACCATAAAAACCCTACATTTGACAAAAATATAGGAAGGAGTATAAATACAAGAGTTTCACAAAATTGGAGGGAGGGCACATTGAGAGAGAGAATACAACGAGAGATTGGAGAATGCAATTCAAGGAAGAAAAACATAAAAAAAAAACTCAAATTTTGAAGCATTGATTGGGAGAGGAAAAAGATCTTGGTGCAAGATTAATTTCTTTTTCTACATTGTTATTCAAAATTCGGTGATGTATTCAATAATTTTGTGTTTTTCTTCTTCCATCATTATGAGTAGCTAAATTTTATATCATGACGAATAATGTAATTTACTTGAGATCCTTTATCTCTTTTATTTAAGATTCTTGGTATGTTATCATACATGTGTTGATTTTGCAATGAGTTTAATACATTAAATTACTTGATCACTAATTTGATGATTTTGTAAATCTTCTACGAATCGAGATGTGAGTTTGAAATTTTAACCATATAGTAAAATTCGGTATATTAGTATAACTTGTAGAGAGATACATATACTAAATATTGCGATCATCATATGAATTCTTAAAACTAATATTTCGTTTAACTGAGGTATATTCACGTAGAGATATATGATTGAAGTAGTTAAATATGGTTAATGAGAATTCGAGAGGGGTAATTGAATACTATAGAAGAATTCGATTAATATTTTGTTTAACTAAAATTGATTCGCATAGAGATATGGAGATTGAATTTGTTAAATAGGCTCAATGAGAACTCGAAAGGAGTAAATTGAATACAATAGAAGAATTCGATCGAACACTACATTAGACTTTTGCATCTTGAATTAAGATTTAAAGGTAATCAATATGTGAAATTGTTCGTCCCTAATGTCCATCTAGTATTTGAATTCTCAACCAATTTTGTGTGCATTTTAATTAATTTCAACAGTTTAAATAAAAAATTAACATCAACGCATAATTCTTTGTTTACTTTTATCAAATAAGAATTAGAAAAAATTAATTAAGTTATAAAGTATAGTCCTTATGAGAACGATAATCCAGACTTAAAAGTATACTATATTATTTGTTACAAAATCGTACATTTGCGATAGAAAATACACAACAATGCTAATAGCTCTTGCTTAACAATAGGGACTTGCACTGCTTTTCTCTAGACTTTGACTGTGTTTGATCGTGGTTAAATGTAACTTCTTAAAAATAATTAAGCCCATGTTTGACCCGCATTATTTATTTCATTCTCATTCTTCTACTCATTTTCAACCACACATTTTTCAATAAAATAATATTTTTTATTACATCAATAATTTTTCCTTCATTTTCAACCATACTCTCCATCACATCACTTCAAAAAAATGCATTCTCTCATTTTAATATGCACCAAACAGGCTTTAAAAATAACTTTAAAAAAATGTTTGGCACCCATTAACTTTTTAAAATTTTTCTCTTTCTTAATTATCACCACACATTCTTCAAATAAAATAATATTACACACAAATCTAAAATTTTTCATTACTTTTCAACCACACATTCTTCCATCAATTACTATTCCGAAATTTATAATTTCCCAAAAATGGGTGTCAAACACATGCTAAGAGTGTGTTTGATTGTCATGTGAAAAATTGACATTTTTTATAAAAATAAATGCAATCAAACGCGCCATAGAGGTTCATGTTTGGCAAAAAGTAATTTAATTTTAAGTGCCTTATTTAATGGTATTTGTAAGTGTCTTATTCAATGGTAGAAGAAATGGTTGGCTTTGTCTCGGCGAACATCCCATAAATATTTATTCAACAATTATTTCATGAAAGAAATTCAAGGAAAATTAAAAAGAAGAAAAAAATACATGTTCCCCCTTATTATGGTAAAAATTACAAGAATGCATGCACTATACGAATACAAATTACGAAAAATAAATAAAGAAAGACAGAATATTGTATTTATTAATGAAGCTTAAAATCGCCCATAATTTTCTTGAATATGCTCATCAATTCCATCGCCGGAGTCCCGTCGGGAGTTTGTGATACAATTCCATCGTTCCCAGCGAGAACCCTGTACTTGTCCTTCCTGGTGAAGTTTGTGCACTCAAACCCTAATGTTGCAGCCAAGATTCTTTGAACATAATTTGCAACGTCATGTGGACTTTTACCTGATGAACATGTTGCCTCGACTGGTAATTGGTTTAAGAATGTTACTTCGTAGATTGGCCTAGGGTTCATGAAGAAAAATATAGGGTCCATGGCTTTCCACCCTCTAGCTGTTGTTGCATGGAAAAACCCTACTCTGTAATTCATAGCGACAGGCACAATCCGGTCCGTTAATTCAGCAAAAAGTCCGCTGAATCTTAGCAAAAAGGGTTCTCTACAAGTTGTGCCTTCTGGGCAGACGACTAAATCTCCCTTTTCAAGTTGCCGTTTTATTTTCTGAGCGTCGACATTTCGGATTCTTGTTAATCGGACGGTGGGAATGGGGGATAAGATTTCAGATAATCGAGAAATGGAATATGTCACTGCCGGGATTCTGCGGTGTAGGACGGCGGAGAGGATAACAGGGTCCATTAAAGTTCTGTGGGTGCAGACGAAGAGGACGCCGGAGCTGCCGGGAGTCGGGGGCGGAGGAGGGGTGCCTTTAACGATGACCTTGCCTCCAAATACGGGGGCCATTTGTGGTATAGCCCACATAGGAAGCATAAGGCCTACACCAATGCGGATTGTGGCTAGTATGATTCCAAGAGGGATCCATAATAGGATGAGGAGGGCGGCCGACGGCGTAGGACGCTTTGTTAACCGGCCGTCGTGAAAAATCACAGGCAGGGGGCGGATGATGTGGTGGAGATCTTGCTTTTTTCCGGTAATGAATGGTGGGTGCTGTTCTTCCTGTTCATAAGGAAAAAATATTCAATCAACGTTAATATAAAACATGTCACCTAGGATGGTTGGAAAGACTACTAAAAAATATTGTCTTGTTTGACACGTGCAAAAAAAACAATTTGGAAGGAGTACTCGATTATGTAAAATGTAATTAAAAGTAAACTCACATTACACTTGGATAAGAATAATGGACCGGAACCAGATTGATGCCTTCCTAGTCCTAAACTAGGTTGTTCATCACCAAATAATGCACCAACACTTCTAGTGATCGAATCAAAATCATCTTGAATAAAACCAGTTGCCAATCCAAATCGGTTCTCGGAGAGTTCACTTCCGATTACATTGTCTGCGCGTAAATGCTCCTTCACAAACCTCTCGACCATGATTCTAGGCATTTTGGTCAAGACAACTCTCTTATCATATGAGCTGAATATCCTCCATGCCTCGATATCGATATCATCAAAATAAAACTTAGGCAACACAGCTCTAGACACCGCTTCAATTTCCGACATAGGTACTCCAGCCGTGGCAACAAAAATTGTTAATCTGAGACCGGCATCCTCTTTCCCACAAACTTCGAGCAACTTAACCACTGGCCATAACATCAACAACAACGCGAACCGAAACAGACCCGAAGCCTCGAATGCTATCAACATGAAGTAGCAAAAGGGATTAGGATCATTCAAAAGAGTCCCTTCAAGCTCAGCAACAACAGACTCCATAACTAGGAGTAAAACCTCTTTATCTTTGTCTAAATATTAATTTTTCACGAAACCTGAAATGTATAAAATTTTTATGTATTTGTGATGGACAAGGATTTACAATTGATATAAGGACTGTAAGATGAAGGTAGATTGACAGTTCTCTAATGAAAAACTGGGCTGTTTATCTGTTCACAACTAACCCTTGTGAATGTTGGCATATTTATATTAAAATCTCAGCCCATTTTCTGTTTTTCTTAGGTGGATATATCTATAAAGAAACCAAAGGATTATACGCCATCTTAAACATGAAAAAATAGATTACTTAACCTCAACAACTTAGTCAAAAAAATTAATATAATCAAGAATCCACGCGTTCGACAAAATCTATGTCTACTGCGTCAAATTTAGGTTACTTACTAAGAACCCTAGCCGAAATTTTAGTGTAATAAACTGTAGATATATAAAGTAGTGATTGAAGGGATTCCACGTTGATGTACAATGTTCTTTCTGAGAGATTTTTGCAGGCCATGTTTTTTTTACCTTGGGAGCATTTTCGTTTCAAAATTTGATTCATTTATAAAAAAAACAATATCTGTCATCTCTTTCGTCACCCACATATCTCCTTAATTTCAATAATTCTCTGGTTTTTATTTTATTATCCTTTTTTTTTTTTGTCTTTTGAATTGTGTCAAGATTGCATTTTCTAATGTGTAATGGCTGATGCTATGCTGCTTTAATTTATTTATTTTTCTTGTCCTTTCCATAATCTCATGTCTTTCATTAAAAACATTCGTAATCTTGTGGGATCGTGCATTTAGATTAAACTACCTTACATATTCACATTTTTTTATTTAAGGGTGTTTGGTAGGAATTAAAATTAGATTTTTAGTAGATTGTTATAGAAGTTTTTGAAATATGTGGTTGAAAAGTTGTGGGACGCATGAAAGATGTGATTAATATTGATTATTAGACTTTGACATAAATTAAAATCAGATTTTAATTAGGAACCAAACGGGGGCTTAGGATATTTTGCTTCCAATACAGTCATTAAAAAACCAATTTAAATGATTTTTGAATTAACAGTTATATTATTTAAAATTTGGAGTTTTCAGTTATATACATAATTTTTGTAAATGGCAATTTTATATACGAATACTCAATTAATTCCAACTTCTTGTATGTTATCATGCCCTCGTTTAGTGGAGATTAAAATTATATTTTTATTAATTTTGATAAAAGTTGATGAAATGTGCAGTTGAAAAGTTGTGAAATGTGAATTCCATAAAATATATGGTTGAAATTAATTATTAACTTCGATTTAAATTAAAATCTTAATTTTAATCCCATCAATCGGGGCCAATAATTTCAGTGTGTGTGTGTGTCTATCTTCCTTAATTAACATAGTCGAATTTCGTCTAACATGTTCTTATTATGGATAGACGTACAAGAAAAAATTGCTAATATAACAGAACGAATTTTATATTGAATTTACAAATTGTGATTGGTTGATACATTATAGCTGGAAACTTGTTGTTGAAAGTCAAAGTAGGTTAGAAGTTTACAAATTTGCTTATGCTTATACTTCTAGTTTTCTTTCGAAAGGTGCAAGAAAAAAATGTGCTTTACTTTATATAAAATATACTGCTTTTGTTGCTCAAACTAGTTTTTAAAAGAGAGTAATCCTAAAAAAGAAGGAAAATTATTATGTTCGTCCTCAACCTATTAGCTTTATAGCAACTTGAACCCCTTTCTATTAATTCATGTTCATTGGCTGCGGTGCAAGGGGGGTGTACATGGTTGGGAAGATGACTCCAATTTCCATTTTCCCTTTTATCCTTTTTTTTTTCATTTTTATTTTATCCTAACAGTATGCGAACCAAATTATGCCTAATTTATATCACATGCAAGCAGGGGCGGAGGTAGAAGAAAATATATATGGGGTCAAATAAAAAAAAAATTGTGGGACAAAAATTGAAAATTACATGGATTTTTTTGAAATTCTAAATTTAATGTAGGGGCAGCTGATCCCATTGCCCCCACACTAAATCCGCCCCTGCACGCGAGGAGCCATATTGAAGTTGCCAAGAAAAAATAAGTTGGGAACCAAATTGCTAAAAAGCCTATAGGTGAGGGACTAATCATTAGTTTTTTGCAAAATGAAATTATAATATAAAGTTTAATAACTGAACTTTAGTTGCAAATATTATCCGAATATTACATTATTTTTGTCTTTGTTTATTTCCATTTATAATAATACCTTTTTCATAATTAAGCTTCTCTTAGAAGGTATTTATCATTGGACAGAGGGGAATTGAGTTGCCTTTCGTTTATGAAATTCAATTGGAAACTTTCTCTTGAAAGTCGAAGTTGGTTAAAAGTTTTCCTTCGAAACTTGCAAGAAAATGTTTTATTCTATTGCCCAGCTTTCTCCTTTATTTTTTATTTTTATTATTTTTTGGTAGCGTAGGGTAGGGTCGAGGGTAAAGTTCACAAATAGTATACGAGATTTTTAAACTCTTGCTTATTTTAAAGTGGAATTTTTATATTGTACATTACATACCATAATTAAATTAAATAAATAGACTTGGACGTGACGCCGTTGCCGGGGGAGTGTTTTGATCAATTTACTAGTTTAATTGTCATTCACTTTAACCAACTTTATTTATTGTTTTTAACTGTATCCTTTAAATCCAAAAGTAAGTTTGTCTTCGGATTTTCAAATTTTCAAACTCGTTGAACTTATATGCATCGTTCGCGAAGTCTCGATTTTCTCGAATTTGATCCTGAAATCAAAGAGACTTTTCGAAAGAAATTCCGCGAACAAAATGAGTTGAGAAGACAACAACGTGTGATGGATCGATAAGGAGTTCATGTTGACCCTCTCATTCAACTCGAACATGCCCCGAGGGATGGTATTCCACCTGGTTTCAATAACCAAGCGGGTAGGATTCAAAATCCCGTAGTAAATGAGGAAGACGTGTTGTTTAGGAATTTCTTGAACCGCCCCGTGGTGGAAAATCAATGGGGAATCATCTATCCATCCTACGGGCATCCAAATTTCCAACTTAGGCCAGATGTTATTAATCTATTCTCCAACACCATATCATTTTATGGGAGAATAGATGAAAACCCTCATGCTCACGTGGCTCGATTTATGGAAATTGTTAGCAATTTCATTTATGAAGGAGTGAGTGAGGAGGCCATCAGAATGAGGTTATTCGTGCACACTCT